GGCACCGGTATCAAATACCCAGGAGTTACTACGATTACTGGTAAGGTACACATCAATTACATGTATATCAAATATACCTTTGGTTTTGCCGGCCTTCTTGTCCGCTAAGTATTTGGGGCAGTTCCGCTTCCAGTGACCACTTTCCTTGCAATAAAAACACTCAGTCTCGGGCTTGGGTCCATTCTTTGGCTTCTTCCCGGCAGCTTGCTTGCTGGGCGCGGCAACTACCTTGCCGTCCTTCTTGAAGTTCTTTTTACCCTTGCCCTTCTTGAACTTAGTGGTTTTATTGACCATCAACACTTGATGTTCCTTTCTGACTTCTACCTCTGCTGATTTCAGCATAGCAAATACTTCAGGAATGGTCTTTTCCATCCCCTGCATATTGAAGTTCATCACAAAGCTCTTGTAGCTCGATGGAAGCGACTGGAGGATTCTGTCAATGACCGCATCATCCGGGAGATTAACTCCCAGCTGAGTCAAGCGGTTATGCAACCCAGACATAGTGAGTATGTGCTCACTGACAGAACTATTTTCCTCCATCTTACAGCTGAAGAATTTGTCAGAGACTTCATATCTCTCGACCCGGGCATGAGCTTGGAAAACCATTTTCAGCTCTTCGAACATCTCATATGCTCCATGTCTCTCAAAACGCTTTTGGAGCCCCGGCTCTAAGCTGTAAAGCATGCCGCACTGAACGAGGGAGTAGTCATCAGAACGTGCCTGCCAAGCGTTCATAACGTCTTGTTCTGCAGGGAGAACAGGTGCATCACCTAGCGGTGCTTGTAGGACATAATCTTTCTTGGCAGCTATGAGGATGATCCTCAGGTTCCGGACCCAGTCCGTATAGTTGCTGCCATCGTCTTTCAGCTTGGTTTTCTCTAGGAACGCGTTGAAGTTGAGGACTACGTTGGCCATTTGATCTACAAGACATATTGTAAAATTTTAGACTAAGTTCATGATAATTAAGTTCATCTAATCAAATTATAATGAGCTCCCACTCAGATTTGACATCACTTTGGTCATCTAAGTGTTACACGATCCGAGTCGACTAGGCCGTGTCCGATCATCACGTGAGACGGACTAGTCATCGTCGGTGAACATTCTCATGTAGATCGTATCTTCCATACGACTCGTGTTCGACCTTTCGGTCTCCGTGTTCCGAGGCCATGTCTGTACATGCTAGGCTCGTCAAGTTAACCCTAAGTGTTTTCGCTGTGTAAAACCGTCTTACACCCGTTGTATGTGAACGTAAGAATCTATCACACCCGATCATCACGTGGTGCTTCGAAACGACGAACTGTAGCAACGGTGCACAATTAGGGGAGAACACTTCTTGAAATTTTGTAAGGGATCATCTTATTTACTACCGTTGTTCTAAGTAAACAAGATGCATAAAACATAATAAACATCACATGCAATTATATAAGTAGTGACATGATATGGCCAATATCATATAGCTCCTTTGATCTTCATCTTCGGGGCTCCATGATCATCTTGTCACCAGCATGACACCATGATCTCCATCATCATGATCTCCATCATCGTGTCTTCATGAAGTTGTCACGCCAACGACTACTTCTACTTCTATGACTAACGCGTTTAGTAATAAAGTAAAGTAGTTTACATGGCGTTCTTTAATGACACGCAGGTCATACAAAAAATAAAGACAACTCCTATGGCTCCTGCCGGTTGTCATACTCATCGACATGCAAGTCGTGATTCCTATTACAATAGCATGAACATCTCATACATGACATATAGATCATTCATCATTCATCACAACTTTGGCCATATCATATCACAAAGCACTTGTTGCAAAAACAAGTTAGACGTCCTCTAATTGTTGTTTGCAAGTTTTACGTGGCTGAAGTAGGGTTCTAGCAAGAACGTTTTCTTACCTACGTGAAACCACAACGTGATTTGTCAACTTCTATTTACCCTTCATAAGGACCCTTTTCATCGAATCCGCTTCAACTAAAGTAGGAGAGACAGACACCCGCCAGCCACCTTATGCAACTTGTGCATGTTAGTCGGTGGAACCGGTCTCACGTAAGCGTACGTGTAAGGTTGGTCCGGGCCGCTTCATCCCACAATACCGCTGAAGCAAGATAAGACTAGTAGCGGCAAGAAAGTTGACAAATCTACGCCCACAACCAATTGTGTTCTACTCGTGCAAGGAGAACTACGCATAGACCTAGCTCATGATGCCACTGTTGGGTAACGTTGCAGAAAATAAAAATTTTCCTACTCGTTTCACCAAGATCATCTAGGAGTTCATCTAGCAACGAGTGAATAGATGCATCTACATACCTTGTAGATCGCGAGCGGAAGCGTTCAAAGAACGGGGATGATGTAGTCGAACACGACGTGATTCGAATCACCGGAGATCCTAGCACCGAACGGACGGCACCTCCGCGTTCAACACACGTACGGAACAGCCACGTCTCCTCCTTCTTGATCCAGCAAGGGAGGGAGGAGAGGTTGAGGGAGATGGCACCAGCAGCAGCACGACGGCGTGGTGTTGATGGAGCTGCAGTACTCCGGCAGAGCTTCGCTAAGCAATAAGGAGGTGGAGGAGGTGTTGGGGAGGGAGAAGGAGGCAACCAAAGGCCAAGGACTCAAGGTATGAAGTCCCTCCTCTCCCCCACTATATATAGGGGTGCCAAGGGGGGGTGGCCGGCCCTAGGAGATCCAATCTCCTAGGGGGTGCGGCGGCCAAGGGGGGTTTCCCTCCCCCCAAGGCACCTAGGAGGTGCCTTACCCTCCTAGGACTCTTTCCCCCTTAAACCCTAGGCGCATGGGCCTATGTGGGGCTGGTGCCCTTGGCCCAAACAGGCCAAGGCGCACCCCCTACAGCCCATGTGGCCCCCGGGGATGGGTGGCCCCACCCGGTGGGCCCCCGGGACCCCTCCGGTGGTCCCGGTACAATACCGATAACCCCGAAACTTGTCCCGATGCCCGAAACAGGACTTCCCATATATAAATCTTTACCTCCGGACCATTCCGGAACTCCTCGTGACGTCCGGGATCTCATCCGGGACTCCGAACAACATTCGGGTTACTGCATATACATATCCCTACAACCCTAGCGTAACTGAACCTTAAGTGTGTAGACCCTACGGGTTCGGGAGACATGTAGACATGACCGAGATCGCTCTCCGGTCAATAACCAACAGCGGGATCTGGATACCCATGTTGGCTCCCACACGCTCCACGATGATCTCATCGGATGAACCACGATGTCGAGGATTTAATCAACCCCGTATGCAATTCCCTTTGTCAATTGATATGTTACTTGCCCGAGATTCGATCGTCGGTATCCCAATACCTCGTTCAATCTTGTTACCGGCAAGTCACTTTACTCGTACCGTAATGCATGATCCCGTGACCAAACACTTGGTCACTTTGAGCTCATTATGATGATGCATTACTGAGTGGGCCCAGTGATATCTCTCCGTCATACGGAGTGACAAATCCCAGTCTCGATCCATATAAAACAATAGATACTTTCGGAGATACCTGTAGTGCACCTTTATAGTCACCCAGTTACGTTGTGACGTTTGATACACCCAAAGCACTCCTACGGTATCCAGGAGTTATACGATCTCATGGTCGAAGGAAGAGATACTTTGACATTGCAAAAACTCTAGCAAACGAACTATACGATCTTGTGCTATGTTTAGGATTGGGTCTTGTCCATCACATCATTATCCTAATGATGTGATCCCGTTATCAATGACATCCAATGTCCATAGCCAGGAAACCATGACTATCTATTGATCAACGAGCTAGTCAACTAGAGGCTTACTAGGGACATGTTGGTGTCTGTTATTCACACATGTATTACGATTTCCGGATAACACAATTATAGCATGAATAAAGACAATTATCATGAACAAAGAAATATAATAATAATGCTTTTATTATTGCCTCTAGGGCATATTTCCAACACAAAAACCATGTGCCTGGAGGCAGGAACGTCTGGTTTGCAAAGATTCAGGAGGCTTGCAGGAAGGATGTCGAGCGGGCATTTGGTGTGCTCCAATCTCGATTTGCTGTTGTCCGGTACCCCGCTCAGACCTGGTCGAAATATCAAATGTGTGAGATCATGACCTGCTGTGTCATCTTGCACAAAATGATCATTAAGAGCGAGCAGGAAGAGCCAGTGTTTGACACTGAACCATACCACCGGCAGGGTCCTCTTGCCCAAGTTGATCACCAGCTACCGGCAACCTGGACTGCCTACCTCAGTATGCGTCAGGAGATCCGAGACCCACAGGTGCATCATCAACTGCAGTAAGATCTGATAGAGCACCTATGGAGGCTCGGCACGACCTGTGATGAAATATGAGTTTTTATTTGTTGAACTATATAATTTGTATTGAACTATTTGTTATTGTACTACTTTGTTGAAGTATTTGAAATTTCTGTGATGAAATATGTGATAAAAAAATATTTATGTTGATAATTGAACGCCGAGGCATGGCGAACCATGCCGGATATGGGCCTATTCTCGCCCATATAGGCCTTTTTCGCTGAAATGGGGCTTCAAAAGTGGGTCGAAATCGGCGACTGGGGGCGACGACTGGGCGCAAAATCGCCCCAGCGCCGAAAGAATCGCCGGCTCGTCCCCAGGGGGCGATTTTTATGCGCCGTGAGGGGCCAAACGGCTGGAGACGCTCTCTGGAAAGAAAGGTCGAGAGAAACATACCTACTGTACATCTTAGGCCGCGCTTGGATTATCGTATTTTCCTCGGATACACTTGTAAAAATTACAGGCCCCTAGACGTCTGTATTGTTTCCGGTCGGAAATCAGCCTAATCCCGTAAGATACATGTATAATTGATACACCTGTATTACAATACACTCAATCCAAGCGCGGCCTTACTGGTCGCAAAACCTTTCAGAAAACTGTTGCGAAATTCCTGATTGCGAACTTGCCTGCCTGAAGGCGCGCCCGGAGGAGAGCAGAGCAGGAGACAGAGGAGGAGACCAAGGAGATGCCGCTGGGCAAGTACTACTGCGACTACTGCGACAAGGAGTTCCAGGACACCGCCGCCGCCCGCAGGCGCCACCTCCAGGGCGCCCAGCACCACCGCGCCCGCGCCCTCTGGTACGACTCCGTCCGCCGCCAAGGTTACGTCCCCCCCTCCCTCCCTCCTCCAGGCCTCTGACGCATTCCCTCGAGCACCTTGCCCGCCCCCTCCCATTCTTGACCCTAAACCTAAACCCGTCTTCTTCGGCAGAGTCCCACGGCGGCGCATCTCCCCTCCTCCAGCCCGACGGCGCTATCCTCGGCCAGGGCGTCTGCAACCACTTCGTCCGCACGGCACGTACCTTGTCGCTTCTTAGCTCCTACTACCACCTTGTGTTGGGTACTCGTTTAGCTTACAGCATTCTGCATTACGTGGTTGTGCCATGATGAATCTGAGGTCAATTGTTCATGCGCTATAGTTTGCGGACGATGTTACTCAGTGCACGATTGTTCAGTTAGCTTCTTGAATCTTGATTGATGATGTTACAGGGAACATGCAAGTTTGGGGATGCGTGCAGGTACTTCCATCCGAAGCCACATGCTGTGAACCCAGCATTTGCTCCGTCTGGTCAGTTTGCTTTCATGTGCTATTCTGGTACCACTAGTATGGATTTGAGGTGAATGCATTGTTCATATGTTTACATCATGTATGGCATGTAGGATGCAACTCATATCCTATAAACTTGCTTCGCAATGCTGAACTTGACTTAAGCGGGTCAACTTGGGTAGTCTGGTGGATATTTGTCTAGACTTTTGTTTGGTTGCTACACTTCTGTGAGATTTAAGCAGTATTCCGTTCTTCACATACTTTTACCATGTAACAAATAGCTGTATGCCTATAAAATCGTTGAGGTGTATTTATAGACTTGTAGACTAGTAGTATTCATTCTCCTGTAGGCTCCTTTACATGATGAGTTATATGCTCAAGTTATTAGTTGCAATTTGTGGCTACGTATTTTGACACGCTAAATGCTCAACTTTCCACTGAGTTTATTCCTTTGGGTAGGCCTTATTATTTTGAATTTCCTTTTATTATTCAGGGCCTGTTCCAGGAGCAATGGGGCAACAGTCTAATTTTCTTGGAACTCAACCAAATTTTGTTGGATATCAGGCGATGGAAGGAAATTCTTTCTCAGGTGATCTATTTCTTGCATGAGACTCTTGCCAGACATAGTACTTGATTTTTATTTTGTGGCAGCCACTGGAAAACAAAAATTATGTTATGCATCAAGCTATCTGCTCATCATTTTTTGCATGCCTCAGTTGTCATTTTCTGGATAGAACCCATGGCGTAAAATCATTGAATTTAATCATTTGCATACTAGCGGGTTCATTTGCCTCGTTTCCTATTAGTAATTAGGTTCTATTTAGATATTTAGAGGCAATTCGATTGCAAACTGGTCTGCTTGTTGCTGTCTGATAATGGACTACATATTAAAGTGCTTTAGTAATATGCTACTTACAATTTGTTGTTTGTTTCTTCTAGTCATATCCTTGAGAGCTTTTTCCAAAGCAATGAATTTTGATGCTTAGAAAGGCAAGTCATACCAGGGTAGCTTAATAAATGTTTCATCATACTTAACTAGTGGAGAATCCAGGAAGAAAATGGAGGGTGGGCTTAAATTTTTATGGTGACTAAACTAAATTGGTATCATCATTGAAAATATTGTCTAATGTATTATGAATTGACACACCAATACATCAATAAAAGAGAAGCAACAATAAAAAGGCCAAAGCAATGATGTCATTGTTGCTTACTACTATTGTACAACGCCTTCAAACCAAAATATAGAAAATAAAGAAATGTAGGTCCAAGTGCCCAACCGCAAGTCATCTGCCCAAATTAGCACAATTCTTTTATTCCAACACACCATTGCCGCCCGACACACCTTGCTGAGCCGTCAGAGAACCAAAAACCAAGAGAAAACAAAGACATACTGGAACTAACAAAGAAAGGGCAGGTCCCCACTCATCTGGCCACGGATGAGGCCTCCATATGGAAGAGAGGACGGTGACCGAGGCGTCGGCATGGAACAAACCCTAGGCACTGGTAGTTGGGGACGGCATGTGCTCACAACAATTAAGGGAAGGGGATCTAAGTTCACATTAGCTGGGGCAAATTCAGGTTCGGTGGGGGTATAACTGAACTGCTTGTGTAAAAAAAAAGTGCATGCTCGTACTATTTCTCTTCATTTTTGTAAATCTGCGAACAAGTTTTCTTTGTTGAGGGGACTTCGAACAAATTATATTGGACAATAAATCAATTAATACTCCCTCCGGTCCTTTTTACTCTGCACATTGGATTTGCCGAAAGTCAAACTTAGTTAAGTTTGACCAAATTTATATTAGAAATTATTAGCATCTATAATATCTAATAAATATAATATGAAAATATATTCCGAGATGAATCTAATGATGTTGGTGTTGTTATGTAAATGTCAATAATTTTTTATATAAACTTGGTCAAAGTTGGATGAGATTGACTTCAGACAAACCTAATATGCAGAGTAAAAAGGATCGGAGGGAGTATATCATAAAGTAGACTAATATTTTACTGACTTAGAGTAATTTGAGAATTAGACAAATAAATACTTGGTGGCTTATCCCTCCAGCGGTGTGGCTGGCTGGCTGCGTCGTGCGGTGCTGTGCTTGTGCGCGTGCAGCTACTGGCCTGGCTAACTGCTGCATTCTTTTCCTCTTCTATACGGTGAATGGGCTTTTAGATGGGCTGGTGAGCTAGGCTCAGATCGGAGTACTATAGTAATAAAAAAATTGTTTCCTAGGGCAGGCTTGAGCCTGTTGAATCCCACCTGTTGGACTCGCCGTTGCACTTAACCTCTTTATGAGCTTCCATTTGATAATGCTACGTTTATTTCTTTCACAATTCACAGGGAACATACTAAGGGGCCACACTTCTTGGGGCAACTTACCTCCATCGCTGCAACCTCCCCCCGAAGGTGGCTATCCTCCGCTTCCTTTTGTCGACTGGGGTTGAACTGTCACCTGTCTGAAATGTTGATCATTTGGGATGCTGTATATTTGACCGGCCATTGAAATGTGTGAAAGAAATTTCACCAATAACAAGTGCTTGCTTCCTGTATTAAGATAGAGTTTTATTGGCAGTGAGATAGTTCTGTTATGTTGAACATTTTGTACTAGGCATGCAAGAAATCAACCAACATTTGTTCAGACACAAAATACTTTATCCTAGGCAGTGTAGGCAAGAACTACATTGGAAGGCAGAGCCAGCCATCTTCATTCAAGATTGACAGGCACTCCATTTATGAATATGAAGTGATCGATGAGATCAGATCGTCTGCATCCAAGCTGATTGGCGATTGATCCGGGGCCACTGCAAGCAGGCGACCAGCCACCGTTCTTCTTCCACATCGTCGTCGTCGAGCCTACATCCCTTGTTCTCCAACAGAGGGTTTGGGGAGAACATCTTGGGCTGCTTCACCTCCTCTGGCACCTCCCTTGTGCCGAGAAGCCCCTCGTCGGCACCACGGACGATGGCTTTCAGCAGCAGCAGGAGGGAAGCCATCTATAGATTTTTGAGGACTGCTGCTGGCTGGTTACTTTGGAATGATGGTAGCAACAACGCTGAAGCCTCAGGTACATATAGCGAGCCATGCACTCAGGTGCTCGTTTTTCTTACTGGTTTCAGGTGAATTTGCATTTCTTGCAAGACATCTGTTTCGTGAGGGATGAATTCTTTTCCTCTTCTGTTCGATCACAGAAAGCTTATGATATGTGTTATGGTTGCTGTGATGTTTTGTTAGGCTGTAGGTGAGGCGTGGTTGGTACTGATATTTTGGAAAACACACTGCTAATTCTCTTCACCCTGTCAAATGTTTGGTCATCTAACATTTTGGTTACGCTTTTAGGTGCGAAAAGGAAGAATTTTTAACACAAACCTTGTGTGCAGATTCTACTTTATTCCGCATATGGTTTTCGCGTGTAAATATGCTGTTGTTGCCTAATCAAATTCGTCGTCCGTTGATTGGATTGGTACAGTGCACTAGCTGATTGATAGATCGTGCGCCTTCATCCGTTCATTGGACGTACATGCTGTATGCCCTGCCCTCCGGAAACTTCTGGTTTAAGCACTGTAAACCTTTGACGTCGGCATATCCCCTCGTTGCATGCGTGGGCGTGGCCTAGGGCTGGAAAGGAGCCGTCATCTCTTATCTTCCTCGCGATACGCCGCGATCTCTTTCCTTGTTTGCAACGGGGACGTACATGGACGGTTAGAGTTCGTCCGCGCCCGTCTGTTTGGGTTGCCGCGGACGCGCGTCCGTCTGCCGATCCATTCTCGGCCCAATTTTGACCCTCATTTGCGTCAGCGCGGACACGAGACGGACGCGGGCGCCGCGCGTCAACTATACCCGCTAGTCGGTGGCAAAGCGTCCACCATTTTCCTACACCTTTTCAAAAATCCTCCCGCCCGCTCGCGCTCCCAGCTGCTCGCCATGGACGATGCCCTCGATGCCGCAACCGGCCTCGCCTCGTCCGGCATCACCTCCGCCGCCTCCGGCAAAGGCAAGCCCCATGCCCTCCACAAGACCGCCGCAGCGCCCAAGAAGAAGAAGCAGCTGGCGCCCGAGGAGCGGGCCGCGGAGTCGACCAAGAGGAAGGGCCGGAGGCACGCAGCGGACGCAAGGGATGAAGCAGCCGCCACCGCCACCCTCACCGCCGCCGTGCAGCAGGAGGAAACCAACGCTCGCGTCACGGTGGCAACGAGAGAGGCCCTGATCTACCTAGGGTTAAGGCCTGGCCAACACGAGCTCGTCAGCGCTGTCATGGCCGCGACCAGCACTGGCTCGTTCGCGTTTCCTCGAATGGTGCTGCCAGAGTCGCCGCGCGCGTTTGCGAAGCACCCGATTCCCGGCTTCCACGTCTACTCGCAACCTCCCGACTCTCCGGGGAACGCTCGCCGGAGGTGAGCGTGGTGGCGCCTTCCATGCTCGCGCCCATTCCCATCGACCTCAACACCACGCGCAGTGGCCGGTGCCTCATCATCTGGAGGGGCGAGGAAACACGCGCGGGAGATGCCAGCCGACGTGCTCACCGGTGCCTGCGACCTGTTCGATAGAATGCCGGCGGCCGGCGACGAGGAACCGGGCAATCATTTCATGGAGAGCATCATCTTCGAGGGTGGCGCGACGACCGCTAGCTCCGCTGGCGGTGCTGCCACGGTTGGCTACTATCCCGATGAGACCTAAAGCCAAGACGGCCGAGCGACATTCACACCGGCGACCTATGATCAAGCCGCCATGCACAACGCCTTCATGGAAGATCAGGTCGGCCTGGATGTCTTCCCGCTCGACCACGAGTTCCTGGAGGACTACAACCTCGCGGAAGAGGATGAAATGGACATCAACGGCGAGCCTTTGTTCGAGGACGAGCTCGCCAACTAATCCACCGGGGCGAAGCTGAAGCGCAAGAGCAAGCGGACGAAGGCATACACGCCATCCGAGGACAAGCTCCTTTGTGAGTGTTGGAGAGACATTGGGCAAGACCCCAAGGTCGGCGTCGAACAAAAGGCATCGACCTTTTGGATTCGTGTCCATCGTGAGTTCCATGAGCGCAAGAAGTTTGCGCCGTACCAAATGCATAACACGCGTGGGTGGGTGTCCATTTCAAAGCGACGGAGGGTGATACAACAACAGTGCAACAAGTTTTGTGCCACCCTTGAGAGCATCAAGGCATGCCCCGTGAGCGGCATCAGCATGCAAGATATGGTATACATGTGCCCCTCTTTGTTTTCATTCCCCTTATGCTTGCATGTCCATTTGCCCATATGCTTGCATGCTATTCATCTGTAGGCATTCCAAGCTTTGGAGGCATTCAAGGTCCAACATGAAGGCAAATCCTTTAAAATCTCCCATTGTTGGATGGTCATCAATGGGGAGGAGAAGTTAAAGGCGCAATATGCCGCCCTCATGGCGCGTGGGGGGAAGAAAGCCATGGAGGAGGTTGGGGAGGGTGAAAAGCCACGACCGCAGGGGAAGACCTGATTGGGAACGAAGCATGAAAATCAAAAAATTTCCTACGGAACACCTGAAAGGATCGAGATGGACCTAGAGGGGGGGGGGGTGAATAGGTACAAATACAAATTTTAATTATTACTAAGCAATTTTAGGTAATAATGCGGAAAATGAAAGTGAGCCTAACAATTGCAAGTATGATACTAATGAGCTAAGCAAGATAATCAAGTGACACAAATATATGAGTAAGCAAGCACAAGAAGAGATAATGTATGCAAGTGTAAAGAGACAAGTAACCACAAGTAGAGAGTTAAGGTTAGGAATAACCGCAACTCCGGGAGACGAGGATGTAAGATGATGTTCACTTCCTTGGAGGGAAGCTAGTCACCGTTAGAGGGATGGATGTTACCACGAAGGCACACCAACGCCACGAAGGCTCACCCTATTCTCCCTTTGAGACAACACCACGGAGGCGTTTCTCAACCACTAGTGGTAGACCTTGGGGTGGTCTCCAAACCCTCACAAACTTTTCCGAGGGTAATCACAAAGTTCGATTCCTCTCCGGATGACTCCTACCGCCTAGGAGTCTCCAACCTTCAAGAGTAACAAGACCGACGGGGAAATGCTCAAAAACTTGCTCAAGTCACGAATTCCTTTGGTGCAAAGAAGGGGACGAAGTGGATCTATCACTTGATTGGAGAACTTCTCTCAAAATGTTCCTAGAACACTTGGGAATCTAGGATTTAGTGTGGATGAATGAGAGAGAGAGTGAGGAGTGTTCTTGTGAGGCTCAAAGTGAATGGTCAACCCTATCCTGTGGGAGGGAAGGATGTATATATAGGAGGTGGGAAAAAGTGACCGTTTGGGGTACAGGATGGCCGGACGTCCGGAGAACGTCGGACGTCCGGAGGCCCAAATGGGTCCGGACGTCCGACAGTCATTGGACGACCGGCCGCTGTGAAAAGTGTGACCCACAATCCAGTGTACAGGATATAGACGTCCGACCGGAGTCGGACCTCCGTAAGAATGCTTCTGATGTGAAAGTGTCGGACGTCCGGAGGGTTCCGGCCATCCGTAAAAATGTTTCTGTTGTGGAAGTGTCGGACGTCCGGAAGTGTCCGGACGTCCGGGCAATCAGGAAGGACCAGACGTCCGTAGAACACCGGACGTCCGAAAGCAAGGTATATAGATAGCAACTTTTGAGCAAGTTTTTCACAGATCCATCGATCCCCTCTTAATAGTGCGGGATCCCTATACTCAAGAACAAACCATAAATGAAGTCAACATCTTGTATCTCCATTCTTGAGTTATATGCTTTTGTCCCTAGTCATGATCCATGCACACGGTCTTTAGAACATAATCCTGAGATATACTTGATAAACATGATTAGTCCCGAGCATATGTGTTGTCATCAACATCAAAATATGATTAAGGGCATGATTGCACTTTCAATCTCCCCTTTTTTGGTAGTTGATGACAACTCATATGCATACTCATAATAGTAATCGGAAGTATTTGTTGTGGAGCTCAATAACCATAATAAGAATGAGTAGCGAGCGAGCTCCCCCTCAAAGTGATACTATTAACACAAAAATGATGAGGGCTCCCCCTCACACTGATGCCACGATAATCAAGAGTTACACTCCATATAGATCCACCAAATCTCAGATTCAACAAACTCATAACATAGTTCAACAAACTATTCATAACATAGGTTCGATTACATAATGAGCTAGAGTAACATGCATATGGAGCCTACTCCCCCTTTGGCATCAAGTATCCAAAGAAAAGAACTAGGGGGGGGTATGACATAACAGCATTAAAGATCATCCTCATCATCATTATCATGAACACCACTGCCACCAGCCTCGTCGAAGAAATCAGCCCACTCAGGACCGGAGGGAAAACCAAAATCAGAAGGGGGAACTGCAGGAAGACGCTCATCGCCACTCACATCATATACGCCTGAGTCTCTCAGACGAGCCTTCAGAGCGTTCTTGGAAGT